TTTTTTTTTTTTTTTTTTTTGCAGGTTTGAAGGTAAGAATGTTTTGATTTTTAAGAATTTATTCGGCAGCAGCGGCGACTAGGGCAGTGGCAGGAGTCGGGGCTTGCAGCGGGCCTCGGGGCTAAGAGTGCGGCACGACCTAGAGCAGCAGACAGCACAGTGCGCCAAGAAGGAGGCGCAGCAGCCGCCCTGACCCATCATGGAGATGGAAAAGGAGTTCGAGCAGATCGACAAGTCCGGGAGCTGGGCGGCCATTTACCAGGACATCGAATACAAAACCAGTGACTTCCCGTGTAGCGTGGCCGAGCTTCCTAAGAACAAAAACCGAAATAGGTACAGAGATGTCAGTCCCTTTGACCATAGCCGGATTAAACTACATCAAGAAGATAACGACTATATCAATGCTAGTTTGATAAAAATGGAAGAAGCCCAAAGGAGTTACATTCTTACCCAGGGCCCTTTGCCTAACACGTGTGGGCACTTTTGGGAGATGGTGTGGGAGCAGAAGAGCAGGGGTGTCGTCATGCTCAGCAGAGTGATGGAGAAAGGCTTGTTAAAATGCGCACAGTACTGGCCACAAAAAGAAGAAAAAGAAATGATCTTTGAAGACACAAATTTGAAAATAACATTGATCTCTGAAGATATCAAGTCATATTATACAGTTGGACAGCTAGAATTGGAAAACCTTGCAACCCAAGAAACTCGAGAGATCTCACATTTCCACTATACCACATGGCCTGACTTTGGAGTCCCGGAATCGCCAGCCTCATTCTTGAACTTTCTTTTCAAAGTCCGAGAGTCGGGGTCACTCAGTCTGGAGCACGGCCCTGTGGTGGTGCACTGCAGTGCGGGCATCGGAAGGTCTGGGACCTTCTGTCTGGTTGATACCTGCCTCATGCTGATGGACAAAAGGAAAGACTCTTCTTCCGTTGATATCAAGAAATTGCTGTTAGAAATGAGGAAGTTTCGGATGGGGCTGATCCAGACAGCAGACCAGCTGCGCTTCTCCTACCTGGCTGTGATCGAAGGTGCCAAATTCATCATGGGAGACTCTTCCATGCAGGATCAGTGGAAGGAGCTTTCCCACGAGGACCTGGAGCCCCTACCAGAGCACGTCCCCTGGCCTCCCTGGCCACCAAAACGAATCCTGGAGGCACACAGTGGGAAATGCAGGGAGTTCTTCCCAAACCACCAGTGGGTGAAGGATGAGACTGGGGAGGATAAAGACTACCCGATCAAGGAAGAAAAAGGAAGCCCCTTAAATGTGGCACCCTACAGCATAGAAAGCATAAGTCAAGACACTGAAATAAGAAGTCGAGTCATGGGGGGAAGTCTTCGAGATGCCCAGGCTGCCTCCCCAGCCAAAGGGGAGCCGTCATCGCCCAAGAAGGAGGAAGACCATGCACTAACTCACTGGAAGCCCTTCCTGGTCAACATGTGTGTGGCTACGGTCCTCACGGTCGGTGCGTACCTATGCTACAGGTTCCTGTTCAGCAGCAACACATAGCTTGACCCTCCTCCACTGCACCTCCACCCACAGTCCACCTCTGCCCGCAAAGCCCACATCAAACTAGCAGGGATGCTGCAGTAGGTAACGGCGTAGAGAGTCGGGCCCTGGACGGACGTTGGTTCTGCACTAAAACCCATCTTCCCCAGATGTGTCTCAACCCTCATCCTTTTACTTTTTGCCCCTTCCCCTTTAAGTACCAAATCCAAAAGCCAATTTTCTTTTTTTTTTTTTTTTTTGAGGATAGCAGAGTACCATGCTGGTGGTGCAGAGGGAAGGGGCCTGCACCCGTCCCGGGGCTCCCCCAACCCCAGGGCTCCCTTGTGGAACAGCCCGGTGGGCGGCACACTAATAGCCCCCCTCAAATCTGCAGGGAGCAACTCTCCACTCCATATTTATTTAAACAAATTTTCCCCCAAAGGTGTCCATAGTGCACTAGCATTTTCTTGAACCAATAATGTACTAAAATGTTTTTGATGTCAGCTTTGCATCAAGAGCTTTACCAAAAAGTACAATAATAAATTCTCAGGTGGTACTGGGAATGGAAGACTTTGCCATCAGCCTGCTGTGTCAGACCAGTACTGAAAAGGAGGACGGATGTGAGAAGCCATTACTTAGTGATATTGTGGGTAACGTGAGAAGATAGAACAATGCTATAATATATAATGAACACTTGGGTATTTAATAAGAAACATGATGTGAGATGACTTTGTGTGGCTTATTTTCCTCCCTGTTACCTGCTAGCTGTAGTTCTCAATCACCACTCCTCCAAGTGTATTAGAATGCATATACGGTCTTCTTGTGTCCTGATGAAAAATATGTGCTTGAAATGAGAAACCTGGATCTCCGCTTACTCATGTGCCCATGTCCAAGTACACCCTGCCTGTGCATGACCTGATCATTACATGGCTGTGGTTCCTAAGCCTGTTGCTGAAGTCATTGTCACTCAGCAATAGGGTGCAGTTTTCCAGGAATAGGCATTTGCTAGATTCCTGGCATGACACTCTAGTGACTTCCTGGTGAGGCCCGGCCTGTCCTGGTACAGCAGGGTCTCGCTGTAACTCAGACATTCCAAGGATGTGGAAGCCATATTCACACCTCATGCTCTGGACATGATTGAGGCAAGCAGAAACCCCTCCACCTTTGGGATCAGCCTCCACTATTCCAAGTCAGCACTCTTCTTGAGCAGACCATGGTTTGGAAGAGAAGCAACTGCTGGAAAGCACACTTCTTAAACAGCCTGGGTGACGGTCCCGTAGGCAGCCTGCCACCATCTCCGTCCTGGTTCATCTTGCCGACAGAGGCGCGTCTGCCCCACCCTTGAACCCTGTGGGGCCCACTGGTGCTCACGACTCTTCCTGCAAAGGGAACTTAAGACCTCCACGTTAAGTGGCTTTTTAACAAGAAAAATACGGAAGCTGTAGCTCCTGAGCTACTCTCTTGCCAGCATTTTCACATTTTTCCTTTCTTGTGGTAGAAGCCAGTACGGAAAGATTCTGTGGTGGAACATTCGAGGCGTCACCCCGCAGAGCTGTGGTGAGATATGGATAAGGCTTAGGTGCCAGGCTGTAAGCATTCTGAGCTGGGCTTGTTGTTTTTAAGTCCTGTATATATATGTAGTAGTTTGGGTGTGTATATATAGAAGCATTTCAAAATGGACGTACTGTTTAACCGCCTATCCTGGAGAGCAGCTGGGGCTCTCCACCTTGTTCCGCGGATGTTAGAGAGGTAGCGAGCTGCTCTGCTATATGCCTTAAGCCAATATTTACTCAACAGGTCATTATTTTCTACAATGGCTGTGGAATCAACCATTTTTACAAAAATAAAAACAACAACAACAAAAAATTAATTCATCAACTGATCAAGCTTATTGTGAATTTGAAATTACTTTTTAAGATGTTTGTCTTTTGTGTTCAATGCCTTTAGGATGGACACTATTATTATGATCTTTTGGGCATAAGTAGGTGAGGCTCAGATATTACCACATTTTACACCTTCATGTAAAAAGATACAACTTTAACTTTCAAGCACATAAGTATAAAGTCTGTATTCCAATAATTATTTCCTACCCTCAATAAATTTTATAACCGATCAAGTTTTCTTCTTCATTTTGGCCAGTAGATAGCTTCAGATCAAATTAGAGGCCCACTTTCAGTAATTTCATACAGCCATAGCCATGCATTTCTAGTCATTAATCTTTCTCTGATTTTATTATTTTTCATTTACCTTGTTTCTTTAAACTATTTGTTTTTTCTTCTTTTATACATGTTTATAACCTCAAGTACTTTGTTGGAGGAGTAGCTGACAAGTAAATATATACAAGTGGTGCCTATGGCAGGGATTTCTTGCAACCTTCTGTTTTCTGAAGGACACTTTAGGAAATTTGTTATTGCCTCCAATGACCAGCACTTCTAAGGATACAAATGTTTTCCTAGTCACTTCCTAAGAGATTTCTGTACCACCCTCTTACCTTACAAGTGCAAACATCTCTGTGGAGGAGTCACGCTGCATCTACCTAAGGAAGCTTTCCAGCCACCTCAACTTTGTTGTTTTATTCCTGAGGGTCAGTAGTCTTGGAGAGTGGTCCTTTGAAACAAAGTTGTGGAAAATGTCTTAAGAAGTGAGGGCCATGTCATCTTACACTCATGGACACTGTTTCCTACTGCTGCAAGTATTGCAGTATTCAGAGCTAACTTGCTGTCAACTCTCTGACTATACTACAAGTTCTGTCTTGTTTTTTTGAAGCATAAATGGTTACTTTAACTAAGATAATGAGAGGTTAAGTGATTCTGCTATGACTTTTTTTTTTTTTTTTAATAGACACGGGGTTTCACCGTGTTGGTCAGGCTGGTCTTGAACTCCTGACCTCATGATCCAGCCGTCTCGGCTACTCAAGTGCTGGGATTACAGATGTGAGCCACCACACCTGACCTTTTTTTTTTTTTTTTTTTTAGATGGAGTCTCACTCTCTTGACAGGCTGGAGTGCAGTGGCACAATCTTGGCTCACTGCAACCTCCGCCTCCCAAGTTCAAGTGATTCTCCTGCCTCAGCCTCCTGAGTGGCTGGGATTACAGGCACGCACCACCACGCTCGGCTAGTTTTTGTATTTTTAGTAGAGACGGGATTTCTCCATGTTGGCCAGGCTGGTCTCATACTCCTGACCTCGTGATCCCCTGCCTCAGCCTCCCAAAGTGCTTGGATTGAGATGGAGGGCCCATGAAGGAAAATTTCCCGACTGCCCAAAATTAGCTACCTCAACTGCTTTTATCCGCTTCTATACATCTGCTGCCTGCTGACTAGCTGAAAGGCCACCTGAAAACTGCTGTGCTGCCCAAAACCTCAGGATGTGTCCCTAGCCTCTAATGTATAAAAGCTGTGTGCTGGCTCAAGTCGGGGTTCAAACTTTTGGATGCAGCACTTCTGGGCCCCCTGGCGTAATAAAGTGTGTTTCTCCAATCCTCTGAGTGCCACTTGGGTTTCTCGCCAGGTAAGATTTTCCGGAACAGGATTACAGGCATGAGCCACCCGCTCCCGGCCTTCTGCTAAGATATTTTAAGAATAAACTTTGAACTGCAAACTCTTTAAGAATGGTAATTCCTCTTTGAGAAGCTGCTCTTCATGGCCTTGAGTCAGCAAAAACAGCATTAATATCATCATCCAGAGCCAGAATGGGGGTTGGTGTGTCTGAAATGACCTGTAGAATTTTGGGGCCAGGTGCCACATGTGTTCTGTTGACTCATTTGGTCATATTTTTTGCAGGATTAACATTGGTAACTGCCCTTTTGATTTAGAAGACATTCAGCAATGCTGTTTTACCATCTAGGACCATTTTTTTTTTTTTTTGACACTAAAAATGTAAAAGAATCCAGTCAAGAGATTTATCATGCCCTCCATATACAAAGTGATTCTGCAGCATGTTATCTGAGAAATCATAAACCAATATTGAGCCTGATGGTGTAACTTGGAGTTGTAAGCACTGAGAGCTGTTGATTACGATTTTTATACTTAGATTTCTGAACTCAAGGTAGAAATGTGCTTTTCAAGTTTTTGACAGTTTTACCCAGTATACTGATCTCAGGTGAACTTAGTAAGGTGAGAGATGTTGAAGTGGGCTTTAGAATAGTCTATCCTGTTTTAGGCTATGTTTAGGCCATGCTTCTGATCTCTCTCTCTGTCTTTCTCTCTCTCTCTCTCTCTCTCTCTCTCTCTGTGTGTGTGTGTGTGTGTGTGTGTGTGTGTGTATGTGTGTGTGTGGTGTGTGACAGAGTTTTGCTCTGCCATCCAGGGTGGAGTGTAGTGGTGCAAACTTGGCTCACTGCAACCTCCGCCTCCTGAGCTCAAGCTGTCCTCTTGCCCCAGGCTCCTGAGTAGCTGGGACTATAGGTGCACTTCAACACGCCTGGCTTTTTGTATTTTTGATAGAGAGGGGGTTCACCATGTTTCCCAGGCTGGTCTCAAACTCCTGAGCTCCGGTGATTCACCTGCCTCAGTCTCCCAAAGTTCTGGGATTACAGGTGTGAGCCCGTGTGCCAGGCCTCTTGTTCTTCACCTTTAACAATTTTACTCTGACTTCCTGTATGCCTAACACTTTCATCTCTGTAAAACCATAACTCTATATCCTAATAACCATTTTAAAACCCAGGCATAATCCAACAGTATCACATAGACACTCCCACCTACACTTTTTTCCCTGAGTGTTTCACTTCTCTGCTTTATACTTGACCACTGCTAAACTCAGATACACCTAGTCACTGTTACCAGAAGGGAGGGTCTGGGTCCTAAACACTCAATGAACACATGTTTAAGGTTTAAAAAGTATATAACTCTCTGTGCTATGACATTCTGTTGCTAAGAGAGATCTCCAAAATATTTAACAACCAGAATGCAACCAGCACCAACAGTCAAAGGTGACTTTGCAAGCCCTAAAACTTGTAAGGCTATAACTGCATATCAGCTGAATCTCAGCACTAGATAAAACATTTCTGTCAGATGAATACTAAAGCATTTTATTAATACAAACATAAGGTCAGTCTTCTATTCTTTCATTTGTTCAGTCTTTATTGCAAACCTACTATGTCCCATATCCTATATATAGTACTGTTTATGTAAGGCCTATGACCTAAAGGAATTCAAAATCTAGTCCTAGAATTATAAGATATTTG